CCGCTTCACTTTGCACGGCTTTGTGACGTGATCCCCTTACCCCTCTTGTCTGACACGCTCCCTGTATGCCACCTAGATCTGCTGCCGTCTCCGCTTAGCCCTCAACCAGTTCAAGCGGCTGGCGCGCTATCCCCTCCGGACCGGACGAACCGGATCAGAGCTCGAAATTGTTTCGTTCCTGCATGGTGTTCCTGCCTTTTGTATTGGGCCACTTTTTAGGATTTTAGGGTTTTCGGGTTTTAGTGAGCCGTGCTCGTGAACTGTACTCGTTTTGCTTTGACCTGAATTTCTATTGGACTCAGGAGAGTGCTCAAAGCCGCACCCTACTTTAATTCTGAGAGCTGATCCGGTCTTCTGAAAAAGTAGACTGGTCCGTCATCGGAGATGCAGTTGCGACTGCATCGAAGCTCGTTCTTCTGGTCGAGGTCTATTTTCTGGGACGATCTGTTCCAGCCATTCTTGCATCTCGGATTGCCCCTGCATCCGCCGGGCGCTGATCGTATCAGAAAAGCAAGCTTTGTCGAGACGCCGTTTCTTTCCTTTCTATATGTTCTGGGCTTGTAAGACCCATTTCGTGGATTGTTCCGTGCAGTAACCCCACTGTCAAGCTAGTCACGGCGGTTTATTTCACGGTCCCGGAAGCACTCGAATAATTACGTCGAAAAATAAGAGGTTGACGTAAGCGAAGTCCCATGCGTTGAAACAAGGCACTCATGGGGTGCCACTTAGCAAACATGACTGGCCGTGACAATGATACCGCGAGACTGGCTTATACGTTTCTGGTGATATTTGCGATGATTATCCGGGCCGAGCTTTTCGATTTTATCCCGGTTGAAACGCCACAAAATGATTTGCGACAAGGAAGAGCGAAATTGTGAGCATGAGTTTTCAACTGATCACACGACATCAGTCCCGGGCAGCTTTGACAATGGCTGAATAGTCAAGTCATCGGAAAAATGCCATCACCTGACAGCGTTCACTTAACGAGATTTCTGAGAGTAGTACGCATTCAAGGAAAAAGGCTTCTTGAGCAGCGATTCCTTTGATTCAGTCCACTTAGCTTGCGCGCTCTCGTTTGTATGCGAGGGCACTTCTTCCAGGGGGTCAGGCCAACGCGAGATTCGTATTGCCAAACCTCACTTCATGACATCCAGATTTGCAGCAGTACTGTGAGATGGGCGTCGGTTGGTGATGAGGAGCCCCAGAACTAATGTGCGAGCGCGTCGCAGCTCATGAGTTGGAGCGTTCACGAGCCATTCGATCCCCGTTTCGGAGATTAATCGTCAAGCACTCGTCAAGTTTACAAGTTCAGGACGCAGCGAGAGACTCTTGGGAGAGACCACCACGTCATAGTTTGATCAGCTGATCCTGTCTTGTAACGG